GGAGCACAGACAGGAGCAGTTCTCTCTGTGCCCTGGAGAGAACTGCTCCTGTCTGTGCTCCTGCACTCTGAAGATGGCGGTCACAGGGGCCGTCGAAACGTTAGGAAACAAAACTTCAAGACCACGGCCACACAGCCCGGAAGACCCACACCAGCCACAATCTTCTTCCTTGCTCTCTATTTGCAGTGTCTCCAGCCAGGGACTTGGTATGATACTACTGTAAGGACTTGTCATATATGAGGAAGAATTATTCCTGCTCATAATCAAGTATTTCAAGTCATTAGATGTTCTTTCATGTTACATGTGTTCATCCAACAAACACATATAACGTTGGTACTAGAAAAAAAAAGGAAGACAAATTGCTGGAGGATGATGATGTTGCTTTTGCCTTTTGAAATTCTTTTTGTTTCAGGTCCTGTTTTTTTTTCTTATGTAGTGAATACATGCATCCTACAAATGTAGGAAGTCTAGTTCTTTCAGGCAGTCTTTTAATTCCTGTCATTTCATTAAAGGAATCCAGTGACTTCTCCCAGTATCAGCTCAAGGGTTTGCTTAAGAAAAGCAGCTTAAATCGACACATAGAAAAAGTGCAGAAGGAGATGAATGAACAACACTCTGGCCAAATCCAGCACCAGTATGAAGAAGATGGGGGTTTCTTGAAAGAATTGGAAACCAGGAGGGTTGTATCTGAAGATACCTCCCATTACGTCTTGTTAAAAGGTAGTACAGAAATGCTCCAGATTCATAGTACTATTGAGAAATCCTCAATAAATGATTACTGTAGCCTAGTTTCCATTAATGTTTTAGAAACAGCACTTGAATTTTACCAAGCTCTTATAACGTATGAATAAATGCCTTTGTTTACGCCTTTTCTCTTTCAGGTACCCAGTCCAAAGGAGATACTTTTAGTCATGTGACATCTGCAAGCCATTCTTCTGCAATGCCTAAAGATTCAAAACCTAGCAAAAATGTTATCAACATGCAAGTTAAGCCAGTCTCATGTGACCTTTCAAAGATGGAATCAACCAGTAGTATTTATTCAACACCTCCTTCTCCCAGAACAGTGCTTGCTATCCAGGCTGCTATGTTGGGAAGCAGTTCAGAAGATGAGTTGGAAGATGGAAACAAGAACTATCCTGATTTAGATAAGTGTGAGTCCAAGCCCAGTGTAGACGCAGGTAACATATCTCCACGAACACTCAAGGCTATTCAGCAGGCATTATGTGAGGGGAAAGAGGTTGTCACGGCAACATTTATCAATAGGACTAATAATACTCAAGGAGAAAGAACTTCCACGAAGGACCATCTTGCCAGCAGTTCAGATGAAGAAAGCCAGGTTCCTGAAGATCAGAATGAGAAACAACTTTTATCAATACGGCAGTTGGAAAGTAGAAATATTAACCAAAACAAAGAATTTGTGTTGGAACATGATCAGAATAGAGCTAAAAGCCCATGCATCCCTGTTGTGCAAAAAAGGCCTTTGTCCTGGGCAGAAAATGACGAAAAATGTGTGCAAACACGGATTTCTCAAACAGATGTAAGTCTTGGACAATGTCAGAGTCCAAACAGCAGCATAAAGCAGCCAGAAATTTCTGTGACTCCAATTCCATCAGTTGTCTCAACCCAGTCAGGTTTTGCAGAGTTAGTTCAAACTGGAAAACTTCAGAGTTTAAAGGAATTGGCTAACCGTCCAGAAAAAAATGTATCCTGTACACAGAATGAATTTTTGTTTGCTTTAGAAACCCCGAAACCTGAAGAGTGTGTGGAGCATCAATCACAAGCTGAAGAAAGTGATTCTGATGGTATGTCAGCTTTAATTTAATGTTAGAGACAGATTACTGGGATAATTTTAAAAATATATGTCAGAAAGTAAGAAATTCTATGAACTTTCCTGACAAGATGGCTTGTGAATATGCATATTCAGGTAATTCAGAGATTGATTTAAAACTGTTCAGTTTAGGAAGGCATGCATTTTTCAGGTATTATGGATTTCAGTTGGTTTCTTATGATACTTTTTAATATTAGAAAATGCTTTGGTTTCATGAAAAGAAAAAGTGGAGTGGGTTTAAAATACAAAAAGGAATTTGTGTGTAACTTAGCTGCAGCCAAAGCCTGTAACTAAGTAGTGGTAAATGTAAAGAATACTGTGGTAAGCGATGGCTAGTAGGCATCTAATGTGGTAATGCTTTCATTTGAACAAAATCAGCTATACACTATTAACATGATGTATAATATGTAATGCAATATAACGTATTTATAGGTAGCTTCGTTGAAGTAGAGGATGAACCAAGTGGTGAACTACAAGATGGAATATCTGAGACATCACTTGCCTCCACTGAACAGGAGGATGGAATGGTGTCTGAAGCTTCATTAGAAATGAGAGAGGGGAGTGAAGGGGCTACCGAGAATAAATCAGAAAATGGTGAAGATGCAGAGCTTGCTATGGAGCAAAACGCTGAAATGAAAGGCACAGAGAAAGCTGAAATTAATGAATGGGAGAATATTAATATGGTAATTATTTTGCTACTATCTGCATTTGAGGAATAACAAGGCAGAGCTGTGATCTGTGAACTACTTTTTTATTTTATTGGCATTAACCCATTGGAAATCTTGTGCAGACATGTGGAAGTAATGAAGAAGAAGATGACTTAGAAATGAATAGGGATAAATTTTTCCTGTGATCATGAGAATTAGAAAAGTGTGTGCTTATGGGTTTAAAGAGTGAAAATTCTGGATTCTGTTGGGTGGAAGCATACCTGATGTAATAATGCTACCTATATCATATCTCTTCTAGAATTTAAGACTGAGTTTTTCTGTTTATTTTGTCAGGAGTTGAGAGAATTGGTTTCTAATTATACCTGTAAGAGGCTTAAATGAAGACAGTTAACAGACATAAGTGCTTTGGATTTAACCATGTTTTGGTTTTTATCTTTGTAGGAGGATTTGGGAGTCTTGGAAACAAACCTATCAGCTGAACAAACAGCCCTTCAAGCTCAGAAACAACAGCAGGAACGTACTGCAGCCACTGTGACAGGACAGATGTTTTTAGAGAGTCAGGTTTGTGTTTATGATCTATTTCATTTGTTCTCAGTGCGTGAGGGAGATGGCCTATTATGTAGAAGAGGAAATTGAGAAGTATTGATTTGGGCAAGATTGCCTAGGCAAGTCTGTGTTTTAGATGGGACATAAAGTACCTGAGCAATGTGGTTTAAGATAATACCATTAGGTTTTTCCCATGTCCAGTTTTCCCTTTTAAGACACTTGGACCTCTGAAATGTAAAAGGATCTCTATGCTACAAAGAATTCCAGTGAGTTCCGTTAAGTTCTTCAGAGAATGTATCATGCATAATATGTTTAATGTTAAGTTGTATATAATACTGAAAATATTCCTTTAATTTTAAACTCAGTAGGTTGTACTATTTTTAAACATTGTTTATTGCTTTAATTGTTAATATCTAGATGGTTTATAAAGGAATGATTAAACTTGATTCACTTTAAGTAGTTGGAATTTGTGTCCAATTAATTTTACAAAAAGTATTCAGTAGTAACAGGATCAGAGGTTCAATAATTAAATCTTTAATTCTATAAATTATTTATAGTTTTCAATCTAGCAATCAATTCCTTGTATTGAACAAACTAATCTTCATGTTTAAAAAGAGTATGTTCCAGGACAAGTAGGAGGACAGAAAGATCAGGAAGTGAAGATTTTTCCATCTTTCTAACATCCCCAGACTTCTAAAATAACTGTTAAGCATCAATTTGAAATAGTTGATGCTATTTTTTTAATGTTGGGGAAGAATGGTATATCCCTAACTGATAGAGAATCCAGTGCTAACACAACTAAAACGAGAAAACTTGAATTCCTAATAATATGAATTATCTTAATTAAAATTAATTAAAAGACATCAGAACAATATTTCAAATTTTATATAAGCTTTGCTTATATTATATGGTTTACCTTAACGTTCTTTATGTTATAGAAATAAAGAAATAGACAATGGAATTGGGAATTTTGGAAATAAAAATAAATTTTAGGATGAATGGTCATTTTAAATATAGTTATTCTATCAAGCAATGCTAATGAAAGATGCTGCCATGACTTCAGTGTCATTTGAATATTTGACAGAAGAGGGCCACAATTATTTATTTATTTTTGGGGGGATACCATTGAATCAGTGTTGACTCCTGGCAACTGCCTGGACAAGTCTCTGTATTTTTCTGCGCAAGATTTTGGAAGTGGTTTGCCACTGCCTGCTTCCTAGGGTTGAGAGAGAGTGATTGTCCCAAGGTCACCCCGCTGGCTTTATGCTTAAGGCAGGACTAAAACTCACAATCTCCTGGTTTCTAGCCTGCTGCCTTAACCACTACCCCAAACTGGCTTTTTATTTTTTACTTGCTGCCAGTTTTACAACTCGTGACCCATTGGATCATTATTTCAGAGACGTTTTCTTATCTAAACAGAGAAACAGAATGACCACGGGTGGGCAAAAAAGCAGTGGGAGTGGGAGTGACTTCTGACTTCCTGCTAACTTCCCCATTGACTTTCTTTGTGGGAAGCTGGCAGGGAGTGTTGGAAACCAACCTCCCTTCCTCCCTTCCTCCCTTCCTCCCTTCCTCCCTTCCTCCCTTCCTCCCTTCCTCCCTTCCTCCCCTCCCCTCCCCTCCCCTGTAAGTCTTCCCCACCTGTGCAGCCTCCCATGACTGAGTTTAGACTTCCTGCCAGCTTCCCCACTGACTTGTGGGAAGCTATCAGGGAGCATTGGAAAGGAGGATCATGTGACCGCAGCAGCATGACAGCAGCGCTGAAGCATCAGCAGCACAGTGGCGCTGAAGCAGCAACAACTTTCCCAAATTTCAGTCCCACGGTTGTAATGGATCCCAGATTTTGGACATATTCTGCAAGGTATCCCATTTGAGATACCTTGGCTGAAAAATTTTGGCCTATGATGCACCGTTACACAATTGAAGGTTACAAATAATCAGACACAAGAATTTTCATAGTATATAGGTTACTCCTAGATGTCTAAATCCATCAGGAATGATGCAAAGTCTAATAGTTTTTAAGGTTGTCCTTGTAACTCATAATCAGTATTAATTAATATAGCATATGTTATATGAAAGTTAACTTCTAAACCTGTCACTGAATAAAATATATCTCAAATTGTAACTGAGTTATGCTTGTTAGGTTTTGAACAAAAATGAGTATATTATCTGCCAATTATATGATATTTTGTTTTTTTTTTCATATTCTGTGCTAGAAATTTTAGAATAAGATGAAACAAAATAAAAGAGAATGGGAATCTTTATTTATTGCTCCTAGTCATCTGAAAAGAATGTATCTGATCCATTTATGCTAATTATTGCTTGTATGGCTGAATGTAGCTGATTAATCATAGAAATAATGTCCAAGTCTTGTTTCCAATAACAGTTTTTAAAGCTGTATCTTCTAGAAGTCATACATTCAGCTCCAGGAAATTAAGTAATACACGTGATGGATTAATCGACCCTTAGCAGATTTGACCACCAACTAATTTTGCAGCTGTTTTCCTGCTTGTTCACAGGAACTTCTGCGCCTCTTTGGCATTCCGTACATTGAGGCTCCGATGGAAGCAGAAGCTCAGTGTGCTGCCTTGGATCTTACTGATCAAACGTCTGGGACAATCACAGATGACAGTGATATTTGGTTGTTTGGAGCACGGCATGTGTACAAAAACTTCTTCAGTCGAAACAAGTATGTCGAATATTATCAGTATGTGGACTTCCAAAATCATCTAGGTAATTGATTATATGGAACTTCATATTGGATCTTGGATTCTTCTGTCTTTTTCCAAATATATAATTTAATTTCAATTGTAAATTTACATACCCATCACACTGTTCTCTTTTGGGGTAAACAGCATTAGACAAAGGGCAGAAAATGAATAAGAAATAGAAAGTCAAAGGAACTGAATCATGAGATAAGGAAAAAGAGAAGGAAATATAGCTAAATCTAGTTTACACCAAACCAATCACTAATTCCTCTCTATACCATTCTGCCTTGCAAACAATTCTGGCTTCCATCTTATCTATACAGTAGTTCATACATTGCCTTTTGTTCTTTAGATTCTTATCTCTTTCTGTTTGAGGATCTCGTCAACTCCATCTGAACACAACTTTCTTAGTCTACCCCTGCCTCTTGACTTCTTAATGCTTCCTCCATATACTTGTTCGTGATTTGGTCTTCATTCATTCTCTCTGTATGATCAAACAACTTCATATTATTTTATACTGATCACTCACTTTTATATTCACTCTGCAAGATCAGCACCCCTTCATTCTTTGTCTAATCTTTTCTTGGCTTACCATGCATATTTCTAAAATATGCTGTTCCTGCAACTAATTTTTTGTTTCTGCCAACATTCTTAACACTAACTTCCCATAACAAAATGGATATAAACATTCTCTGATACACAGTCAGTTTTGCTTCTTTTAGCAGTCATTCCTGAGGATGGCCATCTATTACCTACTACTCTTTTACCAGCATTTGGTCATTTTAAAAGATCTGTCCTTTCCCCCATTTTTAGTAAACATTTCATTAAGGTACACAAATAAATCTACTTGCTTTAATTTTTTGCCATTTATGTATAATTTGCAATCATTCCCTCTGTTTTTCCTGTCAACTTCCTTGGGCTCTGATCCATTTATTTTCAGATCCATGCTCCCATTGCATCATCTGTACAATTACAAAATTAACTCTTACTCTATAATTACAAAAAAAGCTCACTTTTTTCCTATTGTCTAGTTTTTTCCTAATCATTGAAGCCACAAATCATAAGTGCATTTTTTTTGCAAAAAGTCTATATGGGGTTTCCAGTCAGCCCCATATAAATGTAGATATTGTTTTTTCTCTAATCAAAAAAGCTAATTTAGCCATCTCTGCAGGTTCCGTCATCTTCACCAGCCATTCCTCCATTGTGGGTAGCGTCGAACTTTTCCATTTTTGAGCATATAATAGTTTCGCTGCAGTTGTCATATGTAAAAACAAAATTCCACGACTTTTTTCTAATTGCCTGTCCATTAGTCCGAAAAGAAAAGTCTCTGGTTTCAATTTTAACCTATAAAATCTTCTGAATTAATGTATGTATTTGTATCCAACATTTTTTGGCTTTTTTACATGTCCACCAAACATGGTAAAAGTCCCTTCATGTTCTTCACATTTCCAGCAAAAATTTGAAGTACCTTTATACATTCTAAACAATTTATCTGGTGACAAATACCAATGATACATCATTTAATAAAAATTAACTTTAAGGCTAGAACATAATGTAAATATCAATCCTTTCAACCACATATTTTCCCATTAATCTATTTGTATATTATAGCCAAAATTTTTAGCCCATTTTATCATACATTTTTTCACTTGTTCTTCTGTCTCGTATTTCAGCAAAAGTTTATACATTTTAGCAATAAAATGGTCATAATTAGTACACAATTCTATTTCAAACTCAGTCTTACTTTGTTCAAAACCATAAATTCTTTTATATACTTTAAACCTTTCTGATAATTGTACATAAGAAAACCATTGACAAGAATGTCCTTCTGTTGTCAAATCTTCTCTTGATTTCATTTTACAGTGCCCTTGAGAAAATTCTAGTAAATCATGGTAGATTAACCATTTATGTTTACTTATCATTTCTTGTCTATAAAATGCGTCTTGTGCTGAAAGCCACAAAGGTGTTTTTGGGCAAAACCTAAATTTATATT